AGTACATAGATTTTTGCCATTTAGGTGTATGTTGGGGTTACGTCTTTCAGTGAAACATGAGTCGCATGTTCAATCCAATATAATTATGGCACACACGGAGGGTGAAGTGTGAGGATTTGGTTGGATCTGAAAACCTGAAGGTGATAGTTAAAGTAGTGTCTTTTATGTGTAGTTCGGAAATACAGCATATGTTTTAATTAAAAAATTACGAGGGTTCTATCTAAGGCCGATTGTTGACCGACCTAATGCAGTCTATGGAGATTGAGTACAACCAAATGAAACCGGGATTTTGGTTTCTATCAATGCTCTATCTTGTAACTGGTCGATTTTACTGGTCAAACTTGGAATCATGTTCCATGGTTGATGTTACCAGAAGACATCTACGATATAGGAGTGAGAGGAAGAAGTAAACAGATGAGAAAGAGAATTTTTCAAATGGGCTTATTGTCGCAAGCGGTGGCGTTCGGGCATCTACTGAATGGCCTTGCATCGTTAATCTTCATGGATTCCCTATTTTCTCTTTGACTCTGCTCTCAACATTCCAATCTTCATTCTGCTCTATTATCCAAATGGATAGTCATGAGACAGCAACCAAAACCGGTTTACGGAAGTGCGTGGTTAGTGGTTGCAAGAACATTTGGTTTTCCAGGAATGGTCGGCGGTTAGCATGCTGCTATATTATACATAGGCATGGTCTTCAAATTAGCAGAATAAAGGCTGACTGTCGATGTTTGAACTCCGTTACATTACACCAGTCTGGTGGAGCAAAAAGACTATCAATTTCAGGGGTCAGACCCAGCGTTCTATGTGATCCTGGTCGCGCAGCGGATCAAATGCCTGATTCTCATAGTTTTCATTATTAGATGTGTTTCACAGATTCCTCGTAAGCCTCCTTTGTGTGCACTTCAGGTCAACGTCAGTGGCAGATGAAAATGGACTAACGGTTTTCAGAAAAAGACCCGAGGGAATGCTATTTAAATGCTGACCAGAACTCTGCCATCTAGGTCGGCTGCGCACGTCGTAATCACGTTGTCATCAATAATAGCCTTGAGCACCATGAGTGTCTATAGTTGCTCATTTTCTATGCGGGTGTAATATACCCTTTTGTTGTGACTATTTTTGGATAAACGTTCCGATTTACTCCTTCATTAGTAGTTAGGTGGAACATAACCAAAGGGGGCGCATAACAACTGTTAGGTAAAAAGACTATTTTTACCTAAAACTGACTATTTTTCAAGTGTCTGCAATTCGGAACATCTCCAATCAATACCAATCTCGCGGAGAATAATCAATCATATCGCGTCATGCGGAGACATTCACTCCGTCCGTCCGATCCGTGATCGGTTGAAATTCGCTCACTCCGTGACTTATGATCGATCGAACTTTGCTAACTGTACTTGATTGGCATAACCTTTTATCGCATTAATCGATGCCATTTTGAGACACATATAAGCATGAGAGTAAAACTTGTAACTTGACTTGCTTTCCTGTGTGTCGAATACGCGTTCGCTGTGCACTAACTGTGTTCTTGCTTACGTAGCTGGGAGAAGGCTACTAGTGCTCGTGGCGTCCAATCTGTGCTGTGATCGTACTCGTGAGGCTAGACGAATAGTGTGGCCGTTTGAGTTACGTGTGTTCCTCGTGTGTCATCGTGTGATATCTTGTTGTGTGTATATTGTGATCAAACGAGATCCGGACACAACACAACGCAAGCTCTTTTTGTGGTAGCTGTAACTGAAATTGGACGTTTTCGGTTGTCTGTAGGGAATAAGTTCCCTGTGTCTTAAATAAATGCACCCCATTACTACTCTTATGGATAATTACTTTTAGGAAGATAACATAATTGCTGCCTATACTTGGACTGAGTTGAATGGAAATTTCCGAAATGTGTTTGTATTTGTATAATTGTCCGAATTCTCTAGTGTTTGATCGACCAACCCCTTCGTTCACGTTCACTTCTTCCCTGCCTCTCTTCACACTGATAGCTCTGGAAAAACGGTATTGTGTGTGGTCAATTTTATCCTTCTATACTTTCCCCTCATGTCCATTTGTGTGTGGTCCAATGTGCTGGACTACACACTGGCCAGTCGGATTCAGCATGTCATTCAGTATCTTCATGTTACTCTGGAAACTCTGAGTGCTTCTTCTCGGCCTTCATGTCCGAAGCAGATTATGGTGTCCATACCCACAGAACCGCCACTCTTGGAACAGTCCACACGGCAGCGAAGTCATGACTCATGCTGCCGGGAGGGATCATCTCGTCAATCATCCAGTCGGCATCGACGAAAGAAATCGGTCGATCCACATCAGCCCCATGCGTCATTAACTTGTCCGTCCACTGCCACACAACCACAAAATGCTACTCAGACAGACAGCAACTCGAAAAGTCCGGTGGATACCAGCGAATCTACGTCTATCGCACAAATGACTAGATCTACCGGTACGCAAGCGGAGACACCGATGTCCCAATCGATTAGCGAGAGTTCACCCAGCGCGGCTGATCCGGTCGTTTTGGTAGCACCGGGATGTACCCGCGTGCGACCCGTGGCTACCGATGCGGTTTCTCCGTCCGATGATCATCGCGTCACATCCCGGCACATTTCCAAATCGTGCAAAGACAAAGGGAAGCACAAACCGTTGATCACAGGGGTTACGAAAAAGAAACACAAACACTCTCGAATGACCGCAGATTGGATTGACGACGAACAGGCACCGTTGAGTCAGTTCCCTGGCGGTATGTCTTTTTTCCGCTTTTTTCTGTGTTCCTTCTCTAATTATCCGTTTCTGTTGACCAATCTCGCTCATTTATTCACATCACAGTGGAAACGGGTATGCTACTAGACTATGTAAGATTTAGACCGAACGCTTTGCATTATTGAGATCATTTTTCCCTAAGATGTTAGTCCAAGAGAGAAGTTACTGTTCATGTTCACGTGCCCACCGGAACGGTACCATTGAAATAGTATCATTTTTCTGGCTCTAATGTGTGCTAAGAACTACTCATCTCAGGCGGACTCCATGTTTGTACTTTCAAAATCCCCGTTATTAAATGACATCTCCGGGCCTGTTCATTGTATTATACTTGGTACCGCAGCTTCTTAGAACGTAATCGGGCCAGCCCGGGGACGGTCGCCCTGAATGATCAGTTTATTTTCCAAATTGTGTTCGTTGTGTGTTCATCTGGTGCACCGCTTGTTTCCATTCCGTAATGAACACTCAGTCGCCCACTGCACCGGCAGACACCGCATTCGTACAGCTTTGTTATTTTTGATTAGGTGTGTTTCAGTATAGGGAATTAGCGGGATTACACATTCGTAGGGAATGCTTACTCTGCAATTGTTCCATTGTTTTGAACCATACGTTTGCATTGAAATATCATGTTTCTATTTCGTGGTCCCGCAGACTGACGTGCGGGCTGATCAAGTCAAGTCACAAAGAACTTCGTTCATCCTACT